ATCTTTTATTTACAGTACAGGTGCTGAAATCAGACTCTAATGTCAGTATAAAAGGTTTCGATATTTTCAGATTTTTGACATTGCGGATGAATGGGGCAGGTTATTTTATAAATTGTTGGTTTTAACACTAATCTCTTATAAAAAAATATTTTTTTGATAAAAATAAATTCACCGATTAGTTTAAAAATGTATCTACAGTATAAGCTCTGAGTTGTTCAGGGTAAATGCAGGGTATCCAAATGCCAGGCCAAATAAATTGTATTATTTCTAGTAAAACCTCTGTACAAAAATGGCATATTTTATTGTATATCTACGTAATTAATTCCTTAAAAATTATAATTTAAAATATTTATCTTTTTAAATTAAGAAATATTGAGAATTTAATAGCAAGTATTTTCAAATATTTAGACAATTTTGAGCACATATTTTATTAAATATTATATTTTGATTTTAATTATTATTTAATTATTTGACACTAATTATTATTAATACAACTTTAATAATTTTTACAATAATTTAGGCTATTTTGTTGAGTATAAAATATTTTTAAAATTTTATTTATAATTATAAAAATATAACAAATATCTAACAAACCTTTTATCTTGATACGTTTGACAGCGTAGAATACGCCATTATCTTTTACTTTATAAACTTTCCCATTTCCACCAGATCCAATTTTTATAGGATTCACAAATGTATGAAACTTTGATGATATGGGTAAATGATCAAATTGCGAACTTGTTGCCATTTTGTTTATCAAACATTAATTATAGTTTAACTATATTACATAGTTATGCGTTTAGTTTGCAATAATTTATAAATATGTCTATAACAATCACTATTAATCAAACAGTTTAAATACAGGTTAGCTCAGTTAATAGCCGTTATTTAATTGTATAAAATGTTAAAAACGTATTAAAATTTATTAAAGCGCTATTGAAAATATGTCAAATATTTTGCTAATTAAATATTGAATTATATTTTGCCAAAATTTCAATTCAAATAATTATAAATTATATTAATATAAAACATTCATGTAATGGAAAATAGTATATATTTGACAATTCATAAGAAGATGATATGTATTTGTGAACATAAGTTGCAAAATAGTCTGTACATCAAGTTAAGGTAAACATCGTAAGTTTATGCAGCAATAGTTAATACAGAAATAAAGTAAAAATAGACATATAATTAAGCTTATGCAGGGCCGTTTGTTTACATGTTAACACTATAAGCAGAGTATTGAATGAATGCTATAGTGAGTTGTGATTTTTGGCAACTCATCGCACATAACTATTCAAGCTTACAAACACTCGTTACTATTTCTACATGAAAGCAACCCTTTCACTGAACAGCTTATGTATGCGCGAGTGTATGCTATACAGCAAACCCTACCGTTCATAACTCCCAATACAGTAACAGTTATGCTCGAGTGTATAGCAATACACATGTAGTGCATTGAATAGACAACACATTTTACGCTTTGTATACAAAACTTCAATGTAAACACTGGCATTGTAATAGTGTTTGTTTCAAACCACACCCAAAAACTTCGTCTTAATTATAGTTAATGTCTAATGAAATACAGTTTTAATGAAATAATTTTCTAATTGTATGTAAAGTATGGACCAAAAGAATGTGATAAATATGTCCACTCTATCGGCAGTGGAGTCCAGTAATAGCCGATCCATACATACGAGTGATGTGAAGCCTATGGAGGAACAGGTGTCCAATGATTCACAAAATGAACACAAGTTTTAACGAAAAAATAATAATAAATATTTTTCAATCGATTCACTTATTTCGTGTCCGACGACGAGAGAGGTTTACATGTATTAATAACGTGACAAATATTTTTAATAAACTAATCGTACAGTATTAAACTGTAATTTGTTTTTATTTAAAGTGATTATAAAATACCCGCTACTTATGAATTATATTCTAAGTAAAACTAATTAGGTAAAATTAGTAATATTTATAAATATTTGTGAAATACAAATGAAGACTTTGTGAGAAATTAAAATAATATATATTTTTTAATAATGTCATCAATATTAAATCAATTTCCAATTTGTGAAAATATTCCACAAAACTTAAAGGTTCAGATCAAATTATTCCACGTTTTTCATCAAAAAGGCGAATTTACAAATGTACCCGATGGTTTCAACATATTATTTTCCACAAATGATGATACCGTATATGGAATGGGGTCTAATAATTCGGGTGTACTTGGATTGGGTCACAATAAAATAGTTGACTCACCCGACATAGTCGAAGGTTTATGCCATAAATATATTAAAAATTATTTTAACAGTCAAACTTTCATATTGGGTTTGACAACTAACAACCGCGTATACGGTTGGGGTAGTAATCTTGGGAGCGCATTGGGCAGGGCGCGTACACCACTTGGCTATTATTTTACACCTGAGTGCATAGAATTTGGTGACAATGAGGATATTTGCGATATAAGCTGCGGACAATGTAGTTCTTTAGCTCTCACGTCAAATGGCGAGGTATACGCGTGGGGACGCTATTCATTATATGACCATGTGTTCAATTCCTTGAAATATGAACCTTGTAAAATTGTTTTCCCAGAAACATGTAAAATTAAATCGATTTATTGCTACAGGATGCTGAAATTCGCAATAACATTAGATGGCCTAGTATATAGTTGGGGTGACGATGTGAATTATCAATTAGGTCGTGAGGAAGTGGGTTTCCAACCAAGACCAAAAATTATAATAAATATGTTCAATGTTAAAAATATTACCTGTTGCAATTTTATAACATATTTTTTAACTAGTGATGGTTTAATATATAATTGCGGCAAATATCAAAAGAACAACAAAGATTGTATTAACAAATACCCAGTGTTGCTGAAAAAAGATGTTCAAATTATTGAACTTGTAAACAGTGATACCATTAAACCTGCCAATTGTTGCTTTGCAGAAGGTGAAAACGAGTTTTACATAATTCATAAAGCAGATTTTATAAAATTGGATTATACAAATATTTTTGAAGCACTCGCCGTTACATATAATATTACATGTAAAACAATAAACATACAACATATTACTCAATTTGAAAATAATTTAATTGCTACAACAATTGCTACTAATAAAAGTCAAGATGTTCAAAATTTTCTAGGTAAATATTTTTAATGAAAATTTTAATTGAATTAGTATATGCTATAAAACTTAATACCAACCCTGAAAGGAACCATAAATTATATTAATTAAAAATGTAATATGTTGGTCAAATTTTTCGTAGACCAACTGACCGAATACCTATTATTACGGACTCGCCCACACGCCTACGGCCTAAAAGGCCTACTTTTAGAAAATTCGAAGTTACTTATTATTTAAAAGTCTCAAATTGGTCAAATACGTTTAATTAAGTTTAGCGTTGATTAATTTAGGCATAAATTATATTAAAATACTTTTGCATAATTTATTTACTTACCATACTACGTTTATTTACATTTATCCAATTTTCACAAAAAAACTATGAAATAAATGCTAATATTGATTTAATTACGTCAAATATATTAGCGTAATTTATGTAACACTCTTGTGCTAGGTTATATCTAAACTTTGGTCCACACTAAAACAGTTAATTAAAAGGTATTTAGATTTTATGTCGGAGTAGGCCTTTTAGACCGTAGGCCTTGTGGGGTTGAAGATATAATTATTATATAAGATTTTTAAGCTAAATCAACTAAATTATAAAATATGTGGTCGTTTTACTACTAATATAATTTTAATTGACAATTATTTAGAAAATCAATGCTAATAATAATATAATAATAACGATATTTATTTAAATAAGATCATTTTATCTTTTAAGATGATAACTTCGAACGAAAATTTATTATCCTTTCATATATTGGAGCTGGCTCATTTGGTAATGTATATAAAGTACAAGATAGGGGATTCCCAAAAGAGATTTATGCTATAAAACAAATTAAAATTGAAGGTAAATTATTTAACATTATCTAAAATTAGCATATCAATATTAATAATTACACTTTAATTGTCAAAGTTCAAAATAATTTGACATTTAATATTAATAATGTTATATCAATTAATTGGCACAGAATGTGAAGATTTCAAAAGTTCTCTTATGAAAAATTTTAAAGTATTTGAAGAAATACATAAATTATCTATGATAACATCGCCGTTTACTGTTAACATACATAGACATTGGTTTGAAAGCAACTATTCATATAATGAAATGGATTTTTATTCACAAAACCTTAAATCTATTATTGAAAACAAATGGCGGGTTTTTGGTCGTAATTTTGATGAACCGATGAATTTGATTGAATACTTCATTTCTTGCGAAATATTTAAGGAACTCTTAGAATGCGTTCAATATTTACATGAATTGAATCCACAGATCATTCACAGAGACCTCAANTTTACATGAATTGAATCCACAGATCATTCACAGAGACCTCAAACCCGACAATATATTGATCGCCGAAAACGCAAGAGAGGGTCGATTCGTGAAGTTATGTGACTTCGGTTTGGCTGCACTTCATAATCACCTGAATCCTAATCACACGGGTGTTGTGGGTACTCCTAGATACTTGGCACCTGAAGTCAGGACTAGCAATAAGAACTACACAAATAAATGCGACATTTATAGTCTGGGAATGACTACATATGAATTGTTCAGTTTGAAGCCTGAAATGTAAGTTACAAAATTTATTAATTTCATTTTATGTTTACACTATAATTAAGTCCAAATATTTTTTATTTAAAATTTAATTAGTGACAATAATTTAAAATATCTCGAAATGTATGAAGAAATAACAAAAATGGAGATAATATTAGACTCCATGTGTGAGGTCAAGTCCTGTAAAAGACACGATTGTTCACATGTATTGTCACAATATGAGGAATGGGCTATCGATTGCAATCGTATCACTGATTTGACAAATTTCAAACTAATATTAAACAATTTGAAAACCCAATGCGACACCAATTTTTATTATAATTTCTTAATTGACAAGGCTAAATTAAATTTACCTGAAATTGAGAACACTTATTTTAGTTCATTTGAAGAATTAGAGTTCATTGGTAAAGGATTATATGGTTATGTGCGCAAAGTGAGAAATAAAAGCACCAATGATATATATGCCATTAAAATGATTGAACTGACAGGTATTTACAATTTTGTGTTACAAAATTACTAATTTATTTCTAGGATCCATATCACTTTGTTTTAACAGGTTTAAATTATGATACAACGAAACAATTACTTAATGAGCTTGGCAAGTTAAAACAAATTACCTCGGATTATATAATAGAATTGTATGACTTATGGTTGGAGTCCAAAATCATTTACATACGAATGGAGTATTCTGAGCATAATCTTAGAGATTGTATTCATCAAAAACAACAGGAATACGGTCGACAATCGGGTCATGTCATGGATGTGTCCGAGTATTACATTTCTTATGTAATTTTCGATCGTATCTTAGAATGCGTTCAATATTTGCATGAATTGAATCCACAGATCATTCATAAGAATATAAAACCTGAGAATTTTTTCTATTATAAACGGGGTCACATACCAGGTTTTAAAATTAGCGATTTTTACATAAATTGCACCTTAATGAAAAATAGAGATGATAACTCAAAGATATATATGTCACCTGAATTACTATCTGAATGTAAAAATATAACATTTCAAACGGATATCTATAGCTTAGGTATAATTGCCCAGGAGATATTCGATTGCAAATTTGAGTAAGTAAATATTATTATATTAATATTATTAATAATTAAAATAATTAATGTATTTATAAGGGAATCACCAACGTTAAAATTTGATAAATCTCTTTCAATAAATATTCATGAGCTAAGTAAAATTATACTGCTCATGGTAAGTCCTATTTATGATTTAAGACCGTCATGTAGTGATATATTGGACAAACGAAGTGTCTGGCAAGTAAGCAGGGAAATGCTTGTTAATAATTTAATCATGGAACAAGCAAATGAAATTAAAATTGAACTATCTAAAAAATACACACGTTTATTTGATGAGAGGTGTAAATTAGGTGACGGATCTTATGGTCAAGTATTTGAAGTTAAGCGTAAATATGATGATTGCTTTTATGCGGTCAAGAAAATAGACTTTCAAGGTAAAGGAAATATACTTTTAAATGTACAATTTTAAATTAACTTTCAAATAAAAATAAAGTAGAATTAAATATTACTGTATTTATAGATGACACAAATTTAGCGGAATGTGAAAAAGAAGTGGAGAAATTGATAAAAGTTAGCTCAAAATATTGTGTCCGATATTTTGAACAACTTCACGAATCCAATGTATTTTACATTCGTATGGAGTTGTGTTCCGATAGTCTTAGGAATATTCTTAGGCACAAACGACGAGTATTTGGTCGACAACCGGATGAACCCATGAATTCAATAGAGTTTTACATTTCGTGTCATATATTCAAAGAGATCTTAGAATGCATTCAATATTTACATGAATTGAATCCTCCGGTCATTCATAAAGACATCCATACGGGAAACATATTACTGGCCCGGGATGTAAAGAATGGCAGGTATTTCAAAGTGGCTGACTTTGGAATGGCTACTATTCGCAAGACAAAGTCAAACGTAAGTAACCTGACTCGGGAGGCACCGGAAGTACGTAGGGATGAGTCAAATGACCCCAAGAGTGATGTCTACAGTCTGGCCATAATTGCAGAAGAGATATTTGACTTTGATTTGGACGACTTAATTCGGTCAGTCTAACAGTACTGTATATGATTATATTGATTAGTATATAAATTAATATTTAATTGTATTCAGGAATAGCTCACAGAAGTATTCATCAGATAATGAAGTGTTAAACAAATGTGGCGTTCATTTAAAACAAGTAGTGAAAGAGATGTTAAACTACGACAACCCGACTGTCAGACCTTCGTGTCGACAAGTGTTAGACAAATATAACGAGTGGTGTATTGATAGGAATTGTCTCGAAAATGAGCCCATATTTGGTCCCACAATAAGACTTATTAATCGAAATGACAACAAGTTTTTCATTGAATTTTTTAAAGCAAAATATCTTTAGTGTGAAAACTAAATGAATTATATTTGAAATGTGCTTTTCATTTGATAAGTATGAAATATTTATATCGTTTTTGTAAACTAAGAAAATGTTATGTTACATTTTCTATATAAGACTTATTTACCTTTAATTGCAAGTTATATGAATATTAATTTTATAAATAAATTTAAGATTGAAATATTGTTTATTATGTAAACGATGTTATAATCATATACCGGATTAGTTCTTGGGGAAATCATTTGAATTATTTATTGCTTGATAAGTTAATTTATTTCATACAAATAATTACAATTATATACAATAACATGAATGATACAATTTTCTGACTTTATATCCAGGATTAATTTAATTGTAAATTAAAAATAAAATTTATTTAATTTAAATAATGCAGTTATCTGATTTGATTAAACCGGGTATCTAATGATAGCTATACCATAAGAAAATCTCAAAACAAATAAACTCATCAATAAATCCAATGACTCCATCGATCTAGTGGTCAGTCGTATATTTCACAGTGAAATCTGGACACCTTTCCCATGAATTGTCACTTAATAGCAATTATTTCAATACTCGTATTGATAGTGAAAATCAGTGCCCATACTAGTGTTAAGCGTAAGTCTTATTAATATTACAATTCATTCAAAAATTTAGAAAAAGTTTTCAAAAACTTTATGTTTTATGTTATGATAACTAAGAGACCTCAAGAATCGTTGGCCGAGAAGTTTGCCGACCATTTGGGAGCGATTTCAGCCGTATCTGTCGCCACATCCCTGTCCCCTCTGTTACTGAAGTTTGCTTTCGCACCGCTATTTCTACTCATAAAACGCATATCAAAGCCATTTATAATGATTGGACTGACCGGGTATCTAATGGTGGCATCCGTACCGTTAATATTAGCCAAATCGGGTAATTAGCAAAAAAGTTTTGCAAAACTTTAAAACACTTTATATATAATGACTACTCTATGGGACAGGTATGACGAGTCCGGTGTTTGAGTCGCGATCCCAGTCCGATGGCCTGTTGTCCACAATCGGTGGCATAATGTCTGCCAATCTGTCGACCATAGCCTCAGAGGCCATGACTTTGACTTAAACAACGATAACTGCAAACTCGAGATGTCCTGCAAATTGGGGAAAAGGATGACCACATCGATGCCATATTTGCAATATTTTGTGGCGCAATCAGGGTCAGTTTTGGTGTACCTTTTTTGTTACTTGATTTTTGCATTTGAATGCAAAGTTTTGGGACTTTTATAGAATTTAATCTATTTATAAATACTTAAAGGCTTTGTTTGTTATGTGATATACAGTATATAGTATACAGTATGTTTAAAGTTAACAACAGTTTTTCAGTTGTTGGCGGACACTTACATGGATGAGTTAGCTTCAATATAATATAAGACTAGCCGTTACCTATACAACCCTATTTCCAGGTGTACAATGTAACATCTAAATTACTGTATTGTTCTCAACTGTATTGTCAGTTGAGTTCAAGTTGGCAATCAAATTGAATGTCAAATGAAAGCATGACATCTATCATTGAATCACTCACACAGTATTATCAATATAGCCAAACAATTATGCAATGTTTGTGTGAGCAGGCAACAATTCATTGATTGCCAGTTAGACTTAATTGTCACAATTATTGCCAATATTATCCAGTACAATTATTATAATCATATTATATTATAGTACTCTTCGTATTGAATGAGAATTAGATGTAAGAGTTGTGATAAAGTGATGGAAATGTGTTATTAATGTATGGAACCAATGAATGATTGAAACATTTGTCATACCATTAGATATGATAGCAAGGAGTGAGTGATTGTGTGATTGTGTGACAAATCATAGCAAATGTCGTCCAATAGTCGTATTGAGTGACGAATTATTGCTATTTATTGTCATTTTGTGTGAAAACAATTCAATTGATTTGTGTTTATATATAATATTGATGTCAATGTAAATGAACCCCAAATATGAAGACTATTTTTGTGGTTTTGGTTTTAATGACAATTATCTGGAATGCAATCAATTGTTCCAAAGAGCGACTCATTGAAGACAATATCGATGGCCTCATCGCAGGCTTCGGTGACTTTGATTCGGACAAACTGCCGGATGTCCTCATTATGACCGATGAGGGCAAGTCACTGGAGCTGTTGAAGGGGCACCTCACGGAACCGGTGCTCAGGAAGTGGACATCCGTTAAGAAGTGCTCCTTTAGTGGCACCGATGAGACAATAGTGGGCGTCATTCCCGCAGACTTTTCGGGTCGAGCGTTGATGGATGTGCTGGTCATCACATCCAACAAATCCAGTGACAAGAAGTTCAATATCTGGCACATGAGGGCAATGGCTCTCAATTGGATTGTGTATACAATACGAGCGAACCGTTGGTCTCCGGCGCCAAAAGCCATCCCTTTGTAGTCGACTATAACGGAGATTTGATCGCAGACTTCATCGTCCAGACCGACGCCTGTGTCCGTCAGCTGTGAATCGGGACTGCGAAGGGTTGGCAAACGGACTGTCCGCCCGATTTTAAGGACAGTCAAGGGATGCGTTTCCCGCACTCCAACGCTTTCATCATTTAAATGATTACAACTCAGACCTCACGGCAGATATATTCATAAGTGGCGCCCAAACCATGGAGTACTGGCACAACGATAAGGGCTTCGCAAAGCTTGAAATGGTTACCCATTCCTATCCCCCAAATAAGTACAAACATTTGGGACAATCGGCTTTCGTGGACATCAACACCGATGGACTCATTGATCACATTTTGGCCGTTTGTAGCAATGAATTGAATTCAAATGACAATGAGTGCAAAGACCCACAAATACTGGGCTATCATTTAGACGACAAACAGTGGATTCCTATCTCTGATATGAATATCGGTAATCAATCGGCCCTTACATTCGCTGAGGTCTCTGTTTTTGGGCAAAAACTTCCCATAACTTTAAAGCACGGAGATATTGATGGCGACGGGTATCCCGATTTGATTACTGTTATGAAGGATAACAAGAATCAGTTGAAAGCCGTAGTCCTGAAGAACACAAAAGCCGACAATAAGCTAAATCGAAAGTTTGTGGTCGACTGGACGAGTGATAAAGCGTTGGGCACTGAAGTGAACGTAGAAATCGCTGCTTTTGTCGATCTCTTCGAAGACGGAAAGATCGATATCTTAATGACCACTATAGACAAGAGTGGGAAGCGGTCGGTGGAGGCGGTGCTCAACACTGAGTGGTGGCCGCGTGTTTCCTCAAAGTGCTGGTCACCAGTGGTCTATGCTATGGGTCTAACTGTCCCCGAGGGAACATCCCGTACGGCACCAACCAAGCGGGTCCTTTCGTGTGCTATCAGTTGCAGGACTTGGACGGCAATATGCAAACCGGTTGCGCCGGACAACTGTCCCAATCGTCGCACTTTGCCCTTCAGATGCCATACTCTGTGTTTGGTTTGGGAGAGACCCCGAACTTTGTTACTATCAGTTGCAGGACTTGGACGGCAATATGCAAACCGGTTGTGCCGGACAACTGTCCCAATCGTCGCACTTTGCCCTTCAGATGCCATACTCTGTGTTTGGTTTGGGAGAGACCCCGAACTTTGTTAAGACGATCACTGCGTCCATACCTTCGGGAGCGATGAAACCTCGCGACACCAAATGGACTCAAATAGTATCGGACGCACAGGTGGCGCTCATCCCTTTCCCTCCCAATGACACGTCCAGTTGGCGAGAATTCATATATGCATAATATATATCAACACTTATATTAATATCGATATATTGTCCATTTAATGCCAATCACTTTTTAAATATATAAATTAATAATAAGTTAATATACAGTGTAAACTGTATAAATTATAATATATACTGTAATATTAAAATTGTTCACAATATGATACATAAATTGTCATTTAAATGGTTAGTTTTTTAGTTATATCTACAGATATTTGTGTTATTGTCTAATTAGTACTTCACTTGTTAATCACACAATGGTTATTTGATAATAAATAATTCTATATAAAATAAAAGTAATATCAGATTAACATTAGCATATAGTGCCATACAGTATCCAGTAATCAAAATCAGATTATTTTGAACCGAATTAAAACAATCTATATTTGCCTTATCTATGCATCAATTGTTTGAATATTAAATAAAACAAAAGAAACAATTGATTGAGAGATAGAAGAATACGGAAGAGAGCTTTTCATATAAAACAATGAAATAGTCATAAGGTTTCAAACAAACACATCTCACAAACATTTGGATTTTTATTACTTTTGGATTATAATCTTCAAATCTTATTTATATTGTTAGAATATTTAATTTTCTAACAGTTTAATTGCATTTAATTGAGGGAGAGAGACAAAAGAGCATACCATTAGGCAATTCACTTCAAATGGATTGGAAGTATGTTAGATTTAGGTATAAATCAAAAATAGATAATGGGGCAATAGATATAAATAATCTAGATATAATTCTAAAAAAATAATTGAGAATAATTTAAACTAAATTAAGGGCATAAATAATAGATAATTTAGACTGAATTAGGGATTGAGAGAGAGAGAGAGACTATTACCTAATAACTTGACTTTCATTTGACATGAGACACAATTAGTTGGCTCATGTTTAGACTGTTGAACTACTATATCAGAGCCCAAATACCAGTGGTTTTGGATTCAAGTACAATTTGAATGCAACCAAAATGACTTCAAATGAGAGGCCACTTATTGACCACAAGTGGATCTTATCTAACCTTCAGAGAGAGATAGAGAGACTCATATCTACAGTTTAATGTGTTTAATATGTAGTTTTTAGAGGCATTTTGGTAAAAAATAAGTGTCTAATTTGATAGAATTGGTGTTAATTTGGTTCTCAAAAGTGTCGCAATTTTCAATATACTGTATGAGTGAGACATCGGGAAGTGACAGAGAGCGGTTTTAAGACATATATAGTATAATAACACAGGATTTGAGTGAAGACAACAGTATTATTGAAGAGAGACTAACAGTTGACTTAGATAAGGCTGCACCAGACGGCCAACAGAATCCAATGGCCGATCAACTCAACGCTTTCGAGCAGACTTCTCATCAGGACAATTAAAAATGATCCCGTTCTCCGATGGGCCTAATCAAGACGTCGACGAATGGCTCGAGAGATACACATTAGCCGCCAGTGGACAGGGATGGACACCGGAACGTATGGTTCAAAGGATCGGTAGTTATTTAGCAGGACCGGCATTGGCGTGGTATCAGACGGATATCGCGGGCTCATCACCGGCACCTACTTGGCCTAACCTGGAGAAGGCACTGACGGCAGCATTCCTACCGACTAACTATAAGCAACATTTAAGAGAGAGAGAGAGTCCGAAAACGAAAACTGTTTGAAAGTGAACGAATTACATATTCGAAATGACCAGGCTCATCGATCGCATGGATGTGGACAATGACATCGACGAGGAAGAGCGCGTTCAACGCATTCTCGACGGCATGCTTCCAGATCTGGCATTAATGGTAGTTCCATACGAGCCCAAGACATTGAAAGAGTTGGAGAAATGGAAATGGTAGAGAGCGCTGCAACTTCAAATCAAATCAGATCAGTGCAGTTGGCTACGAGTGATCAGTTTGGGGACAACTCGTCGGTAAATAGACATTTAGTACCGAAAGAGAGTGAAACACAGAAACTGGTTGAGTCTCTATCAAAGAGCATGGCATCAATCAGCGAAATGGTAGCGAAACATGTATTATGTTAGATAATCGTAGGTTAATGTTAGTATTTGTGTAAAATAGTTTGACTTACAGTATTGTTAGATAAGTTTATTTTTATATACTCATCACATGAATGATATAATTCTTAGACTTGGTATCAAAAATTAGTTTAATAGCAAAAGTGAATTAATAGTAAAAATAATAGAAAATCATTTCAATTTTAAATACTAAATATAGACATGTCATGTAATAAACTCTTAAATATAGTAAAATTTTTAAATAGTTGTTTGATTTGTGTTCATTAAAATGATATAATAATTTATAATAATCATAAAATTATATGCCAAATTAAATTTATTATAGACAAATGAAGTGTAGACAATTTAGCTGTATCAATTTATTGAGTAAGCATCACATTTAAGTAATTATAAAGTTTTATATTTAGGATACACTTGTTATTAAGAGTTTATTCAAAGTATTTAAGGATTATAAAAACTATTCAAATATTTAGCTACAGTTTTTAATAAATTTGTTATTTTACAAGTATAAGTTATACTGTATAACTTTAATAGTTGCCTGAAGAAAAACATATTCAAAAACCTATTATTATTAACATATTAATTTTCGTTGTAAAAATAGTAGCATGTAAACTTAAATAAATGCCATTTGTTATAAAATAAAATTTGTGAACCTAATTGTATACTAATTATGATCTTGGTTATTAATAAACAGTGCTGCAAATTGGGTTGAAAACGAGTATTTGTCTCAAGTTTTCCGATCGATGTCAGACTCCGGACAGTGTCTTAATACGTGTGAATCACTCAAAGTGATGATCAAAGATATTCCTCATCAGCCTATTCAGCCAATCGGTGAGAGTTTATTTTGAAAATGATATATTTTGACAGTACTCATCACTCATGACATGCTTAATACAATTTCAAATATTGTTTGATTTCATGAATTATATATGAATAGTAAAAGTGAATTAGAAGTAAACCACAGAAAGTTAAGCCATCGATAGAGTCATATTATAGTAGTATTTATAATATATAACAAACATATAAGTTGTAAAAATATATACACTGCGTAACGATAGATTAAACTAAACATTTAATTGCAAATAAAACAAAAAATAGTTAACCAAATTATACAAAACTTTATGAACACATAAATCAGTTA